GAGCTTATTGAAAATTTTGTGTTTTGCCATATTAATTTTCCAACAGATGTCTGGGTAGTTAAATTCCTCCCATGCTACCAGGTCTTGTGTACTGGATTTGTTATTTGTTCTAAAAATGCCTCATGCATTTCCTCGTCCTGATTTGGTGGTCAATAGAAGACCCATACCAGGACATCACCCCTATTTTTTCCCTTTACGTAGAGACTTTCAACTGATCTGCCTCTCACTTTCTACAATCATCCTGACATTATGCGTGAAAGGACATTTCATTCCAGGTAATGTGAAATCTGTGTGCACTTGGTGCAGGATCACACAGCAGCTCTGAGTGTTAGAAGAATACACTTTAAATGCTGCGTTACGTTGCTACATGGTGCTGTGCTGTATTTTATACTTCTTTCTGGGGATTGGGTTGAAAAGCTATCTTTCCCAGCTTTTTGTGTTGTGACTACATATTTCTTTCCACGCTTAGATGCAGTACTAAAAGGGACAATTAAAACTATAGCTCAGGTGCTGAAATGGCCCATTTCTGTTTTTAAATGTTGCTTATCTTTAGTATAGATTAGTAAGAGTCTCACAGCACTTCTTCCAAGAGTAGGGTGTTAACCCAGGTGTCCTGGCCACATTCCAGCTTCAGTAATAACATCCTGCCTACCTATATTCCCCCTGTAATTTCAATTTCATGCAGTGTTCTTCACTTCCAGCCCTAAATTATTGTGCGGTTCTGTATTTCGTACCAGAAGTGGCTTTATATCAGCTGTGATTCCAATGGCCTTTATATAGTTTGTAAAGTGCTTTGAGATCCTTTACTATAAAAGTCACTATCTAAATATAAAATTATTATCATTGCAATTTTCTTTCCATGCTAGGTCTGTTGACTATGCCCTTCTGTTAATACATTCAGTTTAATAAAGCACCAAGCAATTTTAATCCTTGTGTGGTTTAAATAGAACACTACATAAACTGCATTGTGAGCAATGCAATCATAAATTAACATGTATTTATAAAATCAATTATTATCTAATCTCAGTCGAAATTCCATTTCTTGCAAGTGCCTGGACATTTTCTCACCAGTTTAAATAAATTGCATTATGCTACTACTTTGTGTACACAATTGGTATGTGGATTTGTTATACAGATAAAGTTTTGTCTACTTACTGGTCCAAAAAAACAGTTTAAACTTATTTTACAGCTCTCATATCCTAGAGAAATATTCGGCTGAGCAGAGAAAAATTCATTGTCCGCAGTCCCAGTGGGCTTTGTTCTATTTTGCAAGAATACATTTGGAGTCATATTCTGGCTTTTGATATGCACCAAGCACACCACTTCCATTGATATCAGTGGGAGCCCCTTGCATCTGCAGCCAGAAAACAGCCCTGGAGTCTTTACACTCTCCCATGGTAGGAAATTTTCAGGATTAATTGCTCTACACAGAATTAAATTGAATATTTAAGAAGCTTAGTTCTGTTTTCTTGCTCCTTTTTTACAGTGTAACCCATTCCTACAGATATAAGTTTCAATATGCAGAGAAATTCCCAGTCTCTGCAAAAAGAACTAACACCTCCCTCCCCCCCCCGCCTTGTTTTAATATGTTTTCTGGTGCCAAAACATACAGAAGGCTAATATGTCACAAAGGAAAAGTAAGAAGAATAGGACTGTTTCTAAGGCAACAAAACGTTTTTATTTTATTTCCCACTCACTTTTATAATGGTTCCTGTTGCTTTGAAACTCTCCAGGCATTTTGCAGGCAATAAAAGGGGCAAATAACTTTCTTTCCTGAAAGTCTTTTATTTGTGGTGTTTCTTATCTAAGCCAAAACATAACTGCTTAAATGGCAGATGCAGTTACCCTCTGTTTACACAGCACCTTGGTGACTGCTTTAAAAGCATACACCGATTTTATTACTATTATTAATTCCAATTATACAGCACAGCACTTCATTTTGTATGGTGTTTTTCATGCAAAGTCTCTCCCAAAATGTGTAAAAAAGTTAAATAATGCAAAGTTAAATACTAGCAGAAGGGAAGAGGAATTCAGAGATATAGGCAAGGGATAAGAGAGAAGTTTTCAGTTAAGATTTGAAAACGGATTGGCCTGATTCTCATTTACACTGAGGCCCCTTAAAACTGCTGTGGCATTACATTTCAACCCACGTTAAGGCCTCTTTGCATTCCACTGTGTAAATGAGAATCAGGCCCATTGTGTCTATAAGACAGCATTATATGGGAAGATTGTTCTAGACGGCAAGAGCTCCAGAATTAGGCTGTCTCCGTAAAGGAAGGGTGGTTGTCTTAATGGTCAAAGAGGAGGGTTGTGCTAGATGAGCCGCTGGAGCAGGGAGTCAGAAGCGAAAGAGGTGGAGTCTTTAAGGCCGGCTGGAGCAAAATCTATGGAGAATGCTGAAAAGTAAGGCAGTATTGAACTGGATCCTAAAATGAATGGGGAACCAGGGGAGTAGTCCGAGGATGAGGGGTGATATGGATCAGACTTATTGATACATTGGAGAAAGTGGGCAGCAATGTTTTGCAAATGCTGGAGTCTCCAAAATGAAGCCAAGGAGAAGGGAGCTGCCATAGGCAAAGTGAAGGCCTGGGTCAGAATCTCTGCAAAGTGCATGCCAAGCCTTCACGTTCAGTGAGCTCTAGAACTCACCAAACTCAGCCCAAATGTTAGTACAGAACAGTATTTTAAAATATTAACAGATTATTGCAATTATAAGTGCAGGTCTTCAATATTATTATGTTTTGAACTCTGTTAATCATATTTCTTCTTCCTTTCTCCTATCATCAGTATACTTCTTGCACACTTCCATGATTTCGTTCTAAAAGTGTATTTTTGTACAGTAAAGTATCAGCAAAGGCAAGCCTCCTTTAATGCATTTTAAATTATGTTGACTAATCCTGGATAATTCTGTTACAGTAACATGCAAACACTGACAGTCCTTAGTGGCTTGTACAGCCTTGTCAGACTTTTGTGTCTGAGAATCTGGTAGTTGTAGAGGCAGCAGGATGAGGTGGAGAGAGCTGAGCTATTAACAGTTCATCCTAGGCCCTCTAGTGTTGTTAGTCTACATTTTGGACTTGAAGTAAAGAAAATGAGAAGGATAGCGGTACCAACATCCCCTGATACTCCTAGCTATAGGCAAACTTCATGGTAACTGGGTAAAGAAATTCATTTTTAACTAAGTGACTCTATGACATATTAGATTATAACATCCAAAAATAATTGTTGGACTTCTTAAGAACCCAAGTAGTCGTGGATCCCCTTCTTAATGTTTTAGAGAAATGATTTAATATAAGACTTCATCTTTTTTATTTACAGTTCCAAAATACTGCCCTTAAAGTTAAAAAGCTAGACAATCAGACCACACTGCTGTCTACCTCACTGGAATACATGGCCACCACTAGCAACAACTGCCAGCTTTGTTAGTCTAGTTCCAGGCACATACTATAAGTAGCACAGAAATGTTTAAAATCAAACCTCTAGTTGGGCATAGGAATGTAACAGAGCAGAAATAGACCAGATAGCAGATATTTTCAACAAGACACAGGACAAATACACTTTACTTGGATCCTGCTAGTTAGTGCCTCTAGAAGTGAAGATCCACATTGCAGATGGGAAAAGAGAAGAGGGCCTTTAGTGTCAGTCAGAATATGACATTCTTTAGGCTGTAACCTGGATATCCTGGGTGTGTTTGCTTGTGCAAATACAGTGCTTTAAAAACCTTCACTTACCACAACTTCATGGCCCAGAGGCTTAGTAACAGGATATAGAGCCTACCACCTATAAATTGTCACTTGGAATCATTATCCAGCCCAGGTTGATAGTGGCCTGTGTGAAATGAGTTTGGTGGCCATAATCCAGTTTGGTTACCAGAAGACAATTGTCCACATCACAGAAGTTTCTGCTTATAAGTGGCCCTGAAAATTCTGTATTGTTTTGCTCCATATGTGGATCTCTATTGAAGTCAGTGGGAGATTTGCATGTGAAAGGACTGTAAGGTCAGACCCTGATTAATCTGTATGTAGAGAGTCCCTTGCCTTCCCAGCTGCCAAGCAACATATATAGTAGCTGACAAACATTTGTATCCCAAATGTGTCCATTATAGTCCCACAGTATGTAGAAAGCAATACTCATTTTAAATTATTTTCAGTACATAACATCTAATTTGATTTTCATGGATTTCCAGGTACTACTTTTCATAGTTCACAAAAGACATCATACTTGTTGATTACAGGGTCAACTCAACCTTTCATTCTTCGGAGGTGGATAAATTGACTTCCATGCAGTTACTTTGTGTTAGTCTCTTTAAGGAAGCTTTCAGCCATAGGTCTTGTTCACTCTTTGTAGACATTAGAGATCCTAAGGAGCTTTTCATAAGAGGCAGGGTCTGCCCCTGTGTCCTGGGTCAAAATTTCCCCTCTTCCTCTCCCATTTTGCTTTGTGCTGTGAGTAGGTTCTCCATGTTTCTGGCACACACTTGCCCACAGGTGGCTGTTTTTCAGTGGGGCTAGATGTATTTAGGTCCTGTTTCAGCTTTACACATGTGCTTAACTTTACACATGTGAATCCATTGAAACCAATGACACTATTCATGTGCACAAAGACAGCATGTGCACAAGTGCTTCCAGGACCAGAGTCATAGTCCGTTACACTCTTTGAGATCCTATAAAAATATAAAGTATTATTGTAAATCATAATATTATTATAAATTATATATGATCATAAATCATCATCTAAATTACATTTGTTGTTGTGGTGTTTTGTTTTGTTTTTTCTATTTTAACTGTGTATTGTTTTGGGAAATTATTGTATATGCTAATCTACAGTACTGTGAAATGTCAGCACAGATTGTCATACTTGCCAGTAAATGATGAAATCTTTTTTATATATTTATGCTTTAACTAGAATAGAAAACAATCAAAAATATTCATTTTTGCTTTCTATTTTTCATGGACATTGTACACTACTTTTCATATGTGAGAATTAATGTGATGATGGAGGAATGTAGATACAAGGACAATTCTATCATTGTTCCCTGTGCTTTTTCTTCTTCTTCATTTAAAATGTTTAATTCCCAACTTTCCCTTATCTTTTCCAGGCCAGTATGTGATTATGGTCCATGAAGTGACCATGCCCCCATTCTTGGGCCAGACTCTCCCAACTGCTTTCAAACTCTTGAGGGTTTTGCCAGAGAAAACCAAAGTCAAGAATATTAAAAAGGAAACTGTGAAAGCCACCAGCACGTAAAGAAGGAACATAAATGTGTAAAGAGTCAGGACCTTTATCCAGCACCCACTGAAGTCAGTGGAAGTTTTACCATTGAGTACAATGGGAGTTGGATTGAGTTCTTGAGCCTTGATCGTGCCCATGCAGTTGGGGATTAAGTTTGAATATTGTGGACCAATCAAAACAAAGAAATAATTGACCACCAGAGATCCATTTCACACTGGTCCTATCTGGTAACATTTTAGAAGACAAATAGATATTTCAGATTGTATTATGAGAAATAGGTAAAAGACTTTAATCAAATCTATTTTTCATCAGTACAGTAGAACCTCAAACTTATGAACACCTCAGGAATGGAGGTTGTTCGTAACTCTGAAATGTTCATAACTCCGAACAAAACGATATGGTTGTTCTTTTAAAAGTTTACAACGGAACATTGACTTAATGCAGCTTTGAAACTTTACTATGCAGAAGAAAATACTGCTTTCCCTTTATTTTTTTTAGTAGTTTACATTTAACACAGCACTGTACTTTTTTTTTGGTCTCTGCTGCTCTCTGATTGTGTACTTCTGGTTCCAAATGAGGTGTGTGGTTGACTGATCAGTTTATAACTCTGGTGTTCATAACTCTGAGGTTCTGTTGTATATAAATTGTGTGTATTTTAACAGAATTGAATTCAAATAACCTGGAGTTTATGCAACAGTTTGATCAGATAATGATGATGCTATAAAACCTGTTGAACCAGCTGGGCAGCTAATGGGTGAAAATGTACGTAGCAAATTAACTTTTATGGCCACTCTGAACACCTCTGTAATAACATGTTTACTAATATATTGTTCTGTGCATAAAGTCTTGTTCATTACCTACATATTAAAAACACTTGCCCACTACAGGATGACAACCAGGCTGCTATCTTCTCTCTTGAAACTGGTTCCTGTCATCACCTAAGGAGGATAAAAGCTGTGTTAATTATTCCAAAAATGTCTTTGTTGAATAGTCCAGAAATGAAGCTGACTGGTGATGGTGGTGGTGGTAAAGTGTTGAGTTGAACCAATTGTAACATATTTGTGTTTAGTGGCAGCTACTGTTGGAATTGCAATATAGAATGCCATAGTGGATGAAAGGTTCAAGAAGTAGTCATAAAACACATGAAAGTTAGCCATGCAACAAGAAAAGAACGGAGTTCTGAGTGTAAAAAGGGATCAGAAAAAAATAAGAGATTTAAAAAAATGTAACAAGAGCATCTCCTGGAAAAACAAAATCATTACTATCTGGCAAGGGTTTATCAGTGTGATTTACTACCAAATGCCAACGTCTAAAATGAAAAAGTAGAGCAGGGGGAAAATATGTTAAAACTGAAAATGGGAAATTTTCTTTGATGTGTCTGCTTGTTGATTCAGAATTCCCCATTTTCAATCATCATAGTTTTTTTAAAATTATTTTTTGAGATTAAAACCTTACCTGATTTTTAGCATTGTATTAAGTGCATTGACTGACTGCAGAGTACAGAGAGCATTGAAGGGGGAAATTATGTACTGATCTCCATAGACTGCTCAGAGCTGAGTTCTGTGTAAGCTCCAACACTTTGTCTTTCACCAACTGAAGCTGGTCCAATAAAAGATATTACCTCACTTACCTTGTCTCTCACATACTTGAAGGTTTATATATCTCCTGACCAAAAGACTTTCATTATTTCACATCACAAATAAACCAGGGATCCTGTAGATCTCTGTTAAGTCTAATGAGCTCCTGTGCACAGTGGAGATTGATGACATCTGAAGCTAGGCAGACAAAATTAATCCATAAGAATAGGTTCAGCATCTGTTCACAGCACTGAGTCAAGATCATACTGTGGACATTAACAACAAGGAATCTGGTGGCACCTTAAAGACTAACCGATTTATTTGGGCATTATCTTTATCGCCTCCATTGAAGTCAACAGTAAAACTTCTATTCACTTCAAACAGAGCCATATGAGGCATTCAAAACCAGGTAGGCAGTGCTCACCCTGAGGAGTGTTTGCTGGATAGACATTTCTGTGATCACCTTGGGAACACAGGTAAGGCAGTAAATATATGCTGCAAGGGGTCACTACAACTTTCTGTAACCTCTAATGGCTTGTTCAGAGCTGCATGACTCAAATCCTTCATTCCCTTTTACTTTATGAGACCAACCTTCTTTTCTGTTCCTTACTTTGTTATAACCACTATAATTTTGCTGGAGTAGTATTGCTAATTATTACAAATAACAGTAGTTCACACCTTTCTCGCACTTTTCATCCAAGAATCTCAGTCAACACATTTCTTGAAGTCCTATCCATCAAGTCTTTAAATCAAGATTGGATGTCATTCTAAGAGAGATGCACTAGTTTAGCCAGAAGTCACTGGGAGCGATGCAGGAATCACTGGGTGAAATGTTCTCACCTGTGTTTATGCAGGAGGTCAGATTATGTGATCGTTACAGTCCTTTCTGGCCTTTAAAATCTATGAATCTTACAGCATTAATTAACTAAGCATCTAAACAACCCTGTAAAGTAGGGAGGTGTTGTTATTCCCATTTTACAAATGGAGAAACTGAGGCATGGAGCAGTAACTGGGCCACAGCCACACCGTGGGTCAGTGGTGGTTTGGGAATAGAAACCAGGAATCCTGACTCAGTCCTCTTACTCAGGACTTTGTACTTTACCTTTGTGCTAATATGGTGCTAAGTGCTCTTACCGGTCTCCTTTTTTAATTCATGAGAAAAGCCTCTTAAATCATTAAACCTCCTTTCTCATGGCTATTTTAGCCTAGCATAGAAAGCTAGAGTATTTACATACCATCTCTCTTTTGTTGTTTTGTTATATATAAATACATATGCAGCTTATGGCTGACAAGTTCTTTACCATTAACCAAAAAGGAATCATGGAATATCCCTTATCAAATACATGATCTACTGTCACAGCCCAACCAGAAGATAAATCAAACACTGCAATCATAAGTCTTTCTTCTTCTCTAGAATTAGCAGATTTTTATCTCTCTCCCTCACCCCCTCTCTGAAGAATGTTTCTGTAGTGGACAAACTCCTGGTGTGCTAGGTCTCCATGTCAGTAGACCTTGTTAACTGGCCACTCGCAGTTCTTGTCAGACATCAGAATAATGAGCTACATGTGCTATTGATTTAATGACATCTCTCGCTACTAGGAATCGATCTTATGCTTTCTGTGCACTAAAGCCAAATTAACAATAGGTTCATTCAGGGTTAGCTAACTCTAAAGATCTACAGGCTTTGAGATCATGTTCCCTGTCAACGTGTGAGTTATACAGTATAAGCCTTTTAGAAGATCAGGACTCTGTCTTTCTGAAGTAATCAGTTTAAAAGTCTAATTTCCAAACACTCTAGCCCCGATAAACTATTATCCCACCCTCTACTGCATTGAAATCCCCATTACAGTGAAGCAAGGGGAGCAGGAGTCCTTGAGATTATAAACTACACCTCTTTTTCTTTTCCTAATAAGACTTGTTGGGTTGCCTGTTATCATTACAGGAAATGAACATGTACATCTAAGTGGGTAGAATGGCTTTGCTCTCAGATAAATTGCCCAAATGTAAATATAAATCCTCTGTAGTGAGATTCTGTACAGTTTCCCCAGGAGAGGGGGTTCCTTGCTATGAAAGCGGTGCATGCTGTCATACATTAAATAAACATCAACGTGTAGCATGTGGTGTAGGCCAGAGAAGGATCTTCAATGGCCCTTGCTATATGCAATTTTCGAGACATATGGTCCCCTGGGTGACTCATTTTTGGAAAATTGCTAAAATACAGACAACTCTAGCAGCAAGTTTTGGTTTTGTTTCCTTGAAAAGCTGCCATCACTTTGTTCAGAGTAATATCCTGGGAGATCACCTGGCGAGAAGCACTCACTGTCAACAGTACCTGAAAATAAAGGTTTTAATTAAAAGTGGCATTTCTGAATCTCCTGCTGGCTGCCATATTATTGTGAATTTGACATTGTTTATGGCACCCGCAGAAGCCAGAGATCATAAAAAAGATTTGATCTTGCCTGGGAATTTATTTTTATGTGGTATTTTTGCAGGTTTTAACATCAGAAGAAGAATTTTTACTTTGAAGTTTAAAATAAATGCAAAGTGTTTACAAACAGCAAGTTCTTCTGATCCTTAAGCCAGCTGAAAAGCAGGATCGAACATTACCATATAGTTTTAGTGTGAAACAGGAGTAGAAAACACTGGGTGTTCTGACAAGTTGAAAGCTGCTGGTAAAGATGCATCAGAATGACAGTTTTTAAATGACTTTGGTGTAGGCTCCAGGGCCCAGAGGTATTTAGGTACTTAATTGCTATTTGACTTCAATGGGAATTAGGTACCTAAATACCTTTGAGGATGTCGGCCTAGGTGATCAGTCTTAAGGTGCGATCATACAGTTATTCACTCAATGGAGCTACTTGCATCAAAATAGATACAGTTTATTTATGTAGAGATATGTATTCTTTTTCTCTTCCTCCTTTGTTTAGCTCTGTCATTATGGAAGGCAGTGATGAGAATAGATGGGTTGTACTACAGATGATCTCCAGCAAGTTTTTAAGATAAATGACCTTCCTATATTACAGCGCTTTTAGAGGATTAAAACCCCTCCTCCCCCCAGAATGCTAGCAAAATAGCAGACCACAATTGGTGAGATGGGAATTTATTCCTGTAAAGCACTTGTGCGTGGTGCTGCCTCACAAATTGCAGGTTGTAGTAGCTGCATTTTTCTCTCTCAAAGAAAAGGCAAATGTATTACCTTGTCAGGTGTAGGTTACGTAGATCCTCCTGCCACAAAGGTTATGAGTTGTACTGTGTACCTGTGTCTTTTGCCTTATTAATGTATATTGGGGCCAAATCCAGATCCTATTGACATCAATGTTAAAGTTGTCCCAGGTATTTGTATTAATTCCATATATAAGGTAAAACTATTGCTTTCCAGGCCATAGATTTGTCATTAAAAATATCAACCAGTTTTGTGCAGACAAATGGGAGATTTTGAATACACAGACAGGTCTGCCAGTAAGAACTCAGAGCACATTTTGGAGGCACTTTAAAAGTTGGCCTCATGACTCATTTATATTGCAGCCGCCCTCCATCTTCTCTCTTCTATAAATGGGGATAATTCTTCCTTTGTCCATCTTGTCTATTTAGTTTGCTTCTTTGGGACAGAGAATGTCATTTTCTGTATGTTTGTACAATGTCCAGCAGAATGATGCTCCAATAATGAACTGAGGCATCTAAGCAGTAATATAAATGATTTTTTAAAATGTTCTGTTTGCTACACATATGTACCACATATTCAATCTGAAAAATGTTTTTATATTACTAAAATTAACTACAAAATATAT